GAAAAACCCTTCTTCTAACCTTGGCTAGGCGGCAGGCGGGGCTGATTTACAGACCGTACTTTGACAACACAGGGTGGAGAAACTTGAATAGCAGGAGGCTTTAGGCGGGGGGGGTGTAGCTGAGAGACACCATGTCCTCTCCCACTGTACCTGGGTTTTGTGTTCCTTTGCCAGTTTTGTGCGTGCGCCTGCATCACAGTGTCTCAGTGGTTCCAGGTTATTTCAGCCCTGGCAGTAGAAGCTCACCTCCTCTGTTCTTGGGCCTGTTTCCTGCTCAGGATGTTTAGTAGGAAGTGGAGGTGGCAGCCGGGTCACGTCCTGTCAACCAGCTGAGCCACACACATGGACCACCACACAATAGAGTAGGTTCTGTAAATGGTGAAAGAAGTCATTCCAGGCTGAGATCCTTTTATTGACCAAGCTGCAGACAGTGGAGCACCTCAGGTATTGTTCTTCTTACCATCTAGCAGAACTCATCTTCACTGCATCATGTGGAAACAGCAAAGAGCATCATGTCCTCTGAGCTGAAAAATGACTGATGTGTAATGTATGCAGCTCAGAAAACTCCAGCACCGCAGGAACATGTACGGTGGCCTCTGACCTGTGTTTGTTGATGTGTCCCTCAGCGTCCAATCAGCTGTGATCAAGGTGTTCCAGGGCGGAGCTCTACAGGCTAACGAGCTGTACACACTTAACGAGAGCATCAGGTGAGGAGACCTTTCTCTTTTTCCTCTGTAGTGTTTAAATACAATGCAGAATAAAGTTTTGTAACCGACACACAAGTAGCTTCAAAGTTAGGCTGATTAGCAAATACGACAAAATACAAAAATGTTCTCTTGAACCATACAACTTCAATTTTCTCTTGTTCAAACAATAGAAAAATACTTGTAATGATGATTATTGGTACAAATACTGACTTTGTTTTTTAAATATTGTTTGTTCTATAAAACTGGTGAAAATTGTCCCAGTGTGTCTGGTAATTTTATGGCAGTAGCTAGAGAATCCATTATGTCAATGAGTGTCCTCACAAAGACAAGAGACTAATGCAGAGGAAATGTGGGCGCCGTCCACCATCTTCCTTCCTGAGTTCCTCTTTGTCTCCGTAGGTGGCTGCTCAAGACGGAGATGGGCTCCTTCATCACAGAGTTCTTCCAGGTATTTCACTCTGTAGTTCGCCTTCCCTGGTAGGCTAGTGGTTAAGGTGCAGTGCTTTCACCGCTTTCACGAGCTGATGCTACTGTCGTCGCCTCACTTCCTTTATTTGTATGAGTTAAACGTTGCATGTTACGTCTGAGGAAAGAGGAGTCCGTTTTAGTGTTCAAGAATAAACAGGGATGTAACACGTAACAAACGTTTTTGGACAGGATCACTTACATTCCAGTAACCTTCCTCACATCAACACATGAAGCAGACGTCACATTTCCACCATTGTATTTTTCCACGTTGGAGGTTTAAGTGGTGCTCATTTACCGACATCATCTTAACGCACCCTCGTCTTCTGCACTCAGCTGGAAACAGTACTCCACCAAGCTTTCATCTCGACTAACTAACCCTGGCATTTGCATAACACTAGTGGATTTAAATGCGCATTGATTCACATTTTGCTGTAAATGTGGTTAAACCTGTGCTGAACTTGGGTGGAGGCCCCCTGGTCCACTCCAGTAGTGAAGCAGCGTCACCCTGCTGACAGACTGTTGTGGCTGCAGCTGATGCCTTTTCTGTCCCCTGGGCATTGTGATCTGCTGCTTTCACACTCCAGAGTTTCACTGATAACAGAGTGCAGCGTGGCTGCTGGTTAAAACTCAGGACGCATCAGACCGCCATGGAACTCGCAGTCGGCTACAGATGTGTGTGCGCTGCTCCTGAGATGTCTGTTCTCTCCTGCAGCTGGAGAGCCAGCGGTGACCTGTTGAGCTGCTGGATTTGAGCACTGCATGCTCCACATGTTCTGGCCCAGTCTGGGTGGTCATGTGGGTCTTGTGACCTTTACTGGGAGTCGACACTCAGACCAGTTCCCGCATTTGCGTGGGGTTTTTCCACAGATGGCTGGTGAGAGTGTGGCCAGACAGGCGCACGCGTATGGTTGACTTTACCGAGTCTCACAGAAACCACATTATTAGTGTAGTCGTTTCTGGGTCACACAGTCGAGTGCTGTCTGAGGGGATCTCTAACATGTCACGACCAGCTCAACCACGTAGTTCCACTCATTAGCCTTGTTTATATTTGGTGAGCCGAGTCTCATAGTGAGCGCCTGGTGGTGGGGCTGAGCTGATGGCTGCCTCCTCGGCCCTGAAGCTGCAGTCAGTGAACAAACTGTCTCTCTTAATCCCCCTGATTAATCAGCTCGCGCTTCAGATAGCAAGCAGTGGGCCAGCAGGTGCTGATGAGGATGACGGGCCGGAGGTGGACGGGCTTCCTGTTCAGGCATGACAGCAGAGGAAGTCTTCTGTCAGTAATCTCCTCACTGACGTCTGGACTGTGTCTGGTTCATCTCAGACCTGACAAGCCTTTCCTGTCCACATCCTGAAACGGATCCATCCTGACCCGACCTCTGCAAGGCTCTGCTCAGCTCTGACATCCAGATAACATGTCTCGGTTGGCCTCAGGGTCACTCATTACATCTTCCTGTTTTTTTTTTTTTTTTATGGAGCTCTGCAGCAGTGCCTCTGCAGAGTTGAACCAGAGGGAGGGTGTAGGGTCATGTCTGCAGCTTTGTGAGGCTGTAACAGACAGATCGCCATGTCCAGCATCTGAGGTTCGTGTGTTAGATGATGGTGCGGGATGAAAAGTTAGAGGATCAGCAGAGTTGTTACAGTTCATCCTCAGGGGAACATGAATGTCTGAACCGCATTTCATCACAGTCCATCCAACAGTTGCTGAGATATCTGGACAAATTCTATACCAAAGATTTAGGGTTAAGCTGGTAAAGTGCAGCCTTAATGGCGTTCCAGCTGTGGGCGCTTTAAGTGGACGACTGTTCTGACAGACCAGACCAGACCAGACCAGACCAGCGGCTCTTACTGTTCTAGAGTATCGAGCCAGTGGTGGCCATGGTCAGAGGCGTTATGTTGTCGGGTTGTCTCGCTTGGACTTGCGGGTGAACTGATTAGATTCTGGTGTTCACAGGGTTGGGTAAGTAAGTAAGTAAACCACAGTTACAAAGTGCTTTACAAAAGAAAATGCACAATAAAAGCAAAGGAACAACATGAAACAAACAGTATTAGATAAAAAGAAACAAATAAATATACAGAAAAGCCCAGTCAGGGTTAGGGTCGTGTGCAAGTCATGGTGTTTCAGCTCTTCCTCAGCCAGGTCGACCTCTGAGGAGGAGGAGGATGTTGTCTTCACTGGGAATCACTTGGTACAATACAGGTTAAAGGAAATTAAAACATTAAAATTAACCTCGGCTCTGTAGAACTAGAGCCAGCAGTGGGTGTGTGGTGTGGGCATGATGGTCTGTGACATGTTCACTGGGGTGACACCGGCTCAGCAGAGGTGTTGGTCAGCCTGTACATACAGACTTAAAAAACTGAACATTCATGTCTTTCCTCTGTGTGTGTTTGTGTCTCAGAACCAGCTGCTGACCCGAGGTCTGTCTGAAGTCCTGGACCAGATCCTTCTTCACGCTGGTGAGACTGGTTTGTGGTTTCTGAGCTCTGACCCTCTCGGGGTTGGTTCCCCCTGACCATCCTGTCTGCTGAGAGCAGCGGGAGCAGAATCCCCCTCGTCAGTTCAGTAAGCGCAGCTGAGCTTTGAAATGGGCTTTAGCAGCCCGGAGCGCTTTGGTCGACACTTTTTGAGAAGTCCATTTTTGTTTATTCAGCCCAATCTCACAGATTTGGTCATGAGATGCAAACATGTGCATGTGGCTGCAGGACCCAGAGCTATGTACCAATCACAGAAAGCAGCAGCGCTTCCTCTGTGGTAACTGGTGCATTCGGTCATCACACGTCCTGCACTTTTCAAGTCAGATGTTTGGACTGTGCAGGGCTGATTCACAAACAGCGGACTTGGACCGAAGTGCTTCACAGGAAGAAATTCAAGTGGCAAACATGAATTAAAACAAGACAATTTAAAACTAATTAAATGATTATTGGATTATTGTACCTCAGCCTTTAAATAGGAATCAAGTCATCACTCTTTATCATGAAGTCAAGTCCTTTACTGTGCTCAGGTTTGGTTTAGTTAGAAATAAATCACAACCAGGATTCTCAAAGTTGGGATGTAGTGTAGCTTGGAAATACATGGTGTATACAGGTGTATAGCGAAGACCAGGCCAGCAGCACGTTCCGAAAAAGTTGTTACAGGGGCGACAAAAGACTGACCACGGAGCCATGCTGCTGGAACAGTCTGGGTGCTAAACTGTCCGGCCCACAGTCCAGACCTGTCACCCACTGAAAACACCTGGTGCGGTACGAAGCGAAAAACACAACATAGGAGTCCCCAGAATGATGAGCAGCGGAATGGGAAAACATTTCACTTTGAAAAGCTGAAGCTGTAAAGTAAAGTGAAGGAAACCTGAAGCCTCTTGTTTGTATTCTAACTGCTACGTTGCAGTGGTTCCCAGCTCCACAGCTGGAGACTGTTGTTTAGAGACTGGTACACAGTCGAACTGTTGTTAACAGAAGAGCAGGAAACATGTCCCAGCGTTTGTGAAGTGTTTGTACTGTTTTCAGTTCACTACACGGTCGAAATGATTTGCAAGCCGCTGCATTCAGTTGTTGTTTGCATCGTACACAGAAGTGCAGTGATCAGAGCTCAGGAGGCCTGAAAACGCAGAGTTTCAGCAGAAACGATTGAATCTCTACCTCCAGGAAGGTGATAAGGATTGGAGGTTTGCTTGATTCAGATGGAGTTTTTGCTTGCTGGAATCTGACTCAAGCTTCTGAACACAGCTTTGCAGCAAGGTGACCTGAGTTTGTTTTATCAGTCAAATTCAAGTGTTGAGATACGGGATGATATAAAGGAATGATGATGCATTATCAAGCTTAAACTTTGTGCCCACTATGGGGTTACTTATTTTATGCAGTGATTAGAATTGGAGCTGCAGCTGCCACTTGTTTTCATTATAAATGTATCTTCTGATTATTGTAGGTTTGTCTGTAAAATGTAAAAACATAGTTTGACAAATGGCCTGCCTCCCCAGAGTGACATCTTCAGGAGTCCAATCAGTCAATCAAGCAATTATTGCAGCTGTACGTAAAAATAATTTCTTAAACTTTATTTCATTTTGATGGAAAAAGTAAAACCACAGTTTAAGCTATAAACGTGTGTAGATTTTAGGGAAGGAGATGTGGAGCCTGTATGAAGGGATACTTAGGTTTCTGACATTACAATGTGGAAATTATCAGTGAGGTCCAACACTGATCCTGGAGACATGTTGCTGTGGTGTTAATGCGTTTCCATGGTAATCACCTGTCTCGTGTCTCCTAGGCGACGACCAGCTCTGTGTCCTCGCAGATATATGGGACAGATTCTTCACAGAGACCCTCCCCACCCTGCAGGCCATCTTCTATCCTGTCCAGGTAAAACGCAAGTACACATACATAAGGAACATGAGCTACGTGCGCATAGGAATAACAACCAGGTCATGTGTGCGACGGTCAAATGGCCCAGTTTCCTCTCAGACCACTGGGTTACGATATGTTCCTCCCAGTTTGGCCTGATCAGAAGCTTCACCATAAATGTCCAGCACACGTGAAACGTCCTGGTCCTGCCCCCGTCACTGCCGTCGCTCTCCTCCATGTTTATTGTTACCGGTCTCTGAGGGGCCGATGCTGAATGATGACGACAGGCAGAGGAGGAGACGCTAAAACGACCATATGGATTCTGATCTGACCGTT